CATGTCGCGTTGTTGGCGGCGAACGACGCAAACAGGTTCATGTGGACGGTGATGCGCGCGCACCGCAGGCTTCTGGGGAGTTGGGTTTCATAGTAAAAACAGAACTTGATCTACTTGGCGTGCAGCAAACTAGGAATGGGAAAATAATTAAATATAAAACTTACTTAAAGTAGAAGAGTATACCGAGGGAGAGGAGCAAGGCGACGAGCGACACGCTGTACCCCACCTCGTACACCGTGATGATCTCGCTCACGTCCTGCACACGTGGAAACGCGGCCGGTCAAAATACGCTACACGATACAACTCTACTTACATGTTGGCCGCACAAACTACTTACATCTTCGGGTTTGACGCACGTGGTGTAGTTGGACCATGGCATGCCAGTCAATGGATGTGTGAACCATGTCCCGTTTTCCGTGCATTCTTTGTGGGCCAACACTGTGGACAAGTCCGATTATTTTTTTTGTTTCAAGAGTGGGATATTAATTTGTTCAAAAGTGAGACATACGTTCAGGGCTGAAGCCGTGTACGAACTCGGGGCAGTGCTCGTAGGCCGTGGTGTTGGCGGCGGTGTGCGGCCAGCACAGCCACGTGTCGAAAGTGCCTTCGCAGTACAACCCTGGAATATATTGAAATCTTTCAAATGTTATAAGATTTTTTTAAAGACAGAGTAATTTTTCGATCCTATTATAGAAAATATTTCTATAATTTTGTCGACTTTTGTCGCATTTTATATCTGTTTAGCAAAGACTTAATAGACTTAGACAGTCGTTGGATGCGAAAAGCGGAGGACCGCATCTTGTGGAAGGCTTTGGGGAAGGCCTATGTCCAGCAGTGGGCAGATAAAGGCTGTTGATGATGATGATGAAAGACTTAATAAGACACAAAATTTTGTAAACTACCTGTCGCCTAAGACTTCACTCGCATGAATATTAACATACATGTACATAAATCGAGATGCATGTCGTTTTGAAATTACAAACTACTAGCTGTTGCTCGCAACTTCGGCTGCGTGATTTGCTCACTGATTACAGCTTTTTAATGGTGCAAGACTTTTTGAAATCAGTCCAACAGTTTTCGAGTTATTTCAATACATACATAAATCTTTCCCCTGTACAATATCAGTATAGATAGTACAGATGCGAAGATACCCACCGGCCGGGCGGAGGGTGATGTTATTGCGCAGCTCACAGGCGGCGTAATCGCGGGCTATGCGCTCAGGGTCGTCCATCGCAGCGGCGCAAGTGTCCCTGCTTACTGATCGCTGCTCAGTTTCTCCTCATCGCCCTCGGCGCAGCGCTCAGCGCACTACACTTCGGTGCGCCTGCACAAGCACTGCAGCTCTGATGTTCATCGCCGAACACCGCGCACACGTGTTCAGCTGTTTCGCAATGCCAGTTACCGCGTACTCAATGTCTACTCATTATAAAGTGTCACAGCTTCTTCGCGTATCGTATGGTATGCAATCGAGAGTAATATCTCCGCAATGTCACTCATCACAGGATGCTCGCTGTAACAAACAAACAACTAACGTCAATCTCACATTTAGATACATAGCGAATTTCGTCCTTAATTTCCATGTTTTAGATTACAAAAAGAATACAATCATTTTAAGTAGCACAATAGTACACTGTGAAGACAACCAAACGGCCATCGCCATATAATAGTTGAGATTAAATAAAAAGCTTTCTGTAACCGCTACCAGTTTTTTAACGATAAAAGAGGGCGTTTAATTATTTTCTTTAGGATGTTCACACGGGCTTCTTGAAAAAATACCGCTTAAAATAAATCATGTCATAACGAACCTGCCACGGAGGTTTCGCAAAAACGCTCGCTCACATTTAAATTACTATTTAGTGGTAGTCGTTAGGGCGCTTCGACCCAGAGACTGACAGAAATGTGAGCGTTATCACATATAGTGCTGAACTTGCGCCTTCCTCATTGTATAAATAGGTGGAAGCGGTGGCGCGGCTGGTATACTGCTTAGTGGAAATTGGATGTTATAAATCAGGCGAGCGAATGATGACATCAGCTAGATTCATTTGAACTGAACAAGATGTGAGGCGCGCTGCGCGACGGCAGCCGACGTCAGCCGACAACAACGTAATTCTCCTGTAACATGATAACGACTGTTGTGATAGATTGATATTAATTGCTCTCTCAATGGCAAAGCTTAGCAGTTAAATGCTCAAACTTCAATACACCTAATTACAGATTTACGATGCGACGCAGCTAGTCGTACGAGTACGACCGGACCTCGCATTCTCGCATAGCACACAAAAATAAAGAAGTTAGGCAATACGCAATTTTTTTGGTGCTTTAGTTAATTTCCTAAAAAAAAATAGAGAAAAACTATAGTTTTCCTCAAAATATCTTATTGTATCACATTTATGAGGCAATGTGCTAGGTAACTGGTGTCCAATCTAGGATGCAGCAGCTTTTTTCATTTTTTAAATTTTATGTCTGAGTTTCATTACTATGTCCTTTTTTTAAAAAAAAAAACATGCGTTATTCAAATCACCGAAATTTGCTGCGTCGTTTGAAGTATCGGCGATGTAGCGAACACGTATATGAAGTTCCATGTGATCTATCTTATTCAAGAATTCAATATGTCTTCATAATTATAAGAATCACGGACAGTATATTCGTAAATACTCAGATTGTACTACGTCCCGCAATTTTAAATTGAATCTGAGCAATAAGTCTTATATTGTTGAGAAGTGTGGTATGACGAGGTGTGGTGTACTTAGGATCTACGTACTGATTATTTCAAAGTTTTATACATTTCCAATAAAGCGGTTAATAATGCTATAACCGTGTTCATCTTATAAAGGTTGAATTTGTTGAAAAGAGTAAATCATCATCTAAAAACAGTGGTGGAGCCCACTTCAACATCTCCGCACTCAGGGCCGGCTCGCCCCATACGATACCCCGACCACACAGAAGACAGGCGTGAAGTTCGTGTCGGAGGCCCAATTTGAGTTCATTTCCCTTCCCACAATCTTTGTATAAGGAAAGTGTGGAAAGGAAAAATGGATTTGACGGTGGAGGAGGCGCATAGGAAGGGGAAATATCCTAACCGCTTGCTCGTTTGCCACCTTATAAAATGATGAAAAGCAAGAAAAAAAAGTAAAAATCCTTGTGGCAACATAAACATGCACTAATGTTGAGGAGCTGCACGGGTTACCTTCACTACAAACATTTAAAATGAAATACATTTTCCTGACGAACACAAACACTTCTTCTGCCTGATAAATGAACCGCCCACCGAACCGCACCACCGCCGACTGATGCCTCACGTCCGACGTACAAGTAAACTTGTCCAGTTCTGCTTGTCCAAGAATTTCCTATAAATTGTTTTATATCGGACCAAACACACCCACGTGGCTCTATAGTTGGAGTTAGTTATTATGTTAGTAAACTTCACATATTCAGGCAAATAAATTAGTCATCGAACTTCGTATTCACTTAAAAGAAATCGGCCATAAATTGCCGGCGGCCATCTTGGATAAGTAATAATATTTTAATCAAAATCAAAATTAAAGCCGGTGAATCATTTCAGATTAACCTATCAATAGCAAGTAAATCTACTTTCAAAAGACCCAAAAAAGGAGCGAGATTAACAAATTGGTTTAAAAATAATTTACATAATATGTGCAACAGGTAACAAGAACGTACACACCAATTGAGAAAGCTCTTTTCTTGTATTCGGTAAGAAAATAGAAACATTTGTAAGGGAAAGTATACATTACAGCCGGTCGCGGCAGGTCACTCGATTTTATTCAAAAAAATCGTTTAATAATTTTGGCACAGCGCCTCCGCCGCGTTGTCGAGTTGAAGGATTTCACAGAAATAGAAAAAGGCGTCGTCTAATTCCGTAACGTAACGTTTACACACGACAACGGCCGGAGGAATGTTTGCTTTGTGTGTAAACACGAAGACGATGTCCCCCGCGCCCCGCGCCCTCACACCGCACCTCGCGCCCCGCGCCCGCGACCCCAGCCTCTCCCCTCGATAGCTGCGACTTAAAGGATCTATTAAATATTATAACACCTCATAGGCGCGTATATTGAATAGTGCCATGCATCTTCTGATGAATATATCATTGACCACCACATAAATGGTGGCAAATGCACGAAACAACAAAGGTCATATAGGTATCATTGCTGTATAGCCATTGACAACACATTCAGAATTCCTAAAATTAATGGACTGCGTGTCATGATATCGTTGTTTAGTGATTACTGTTCTGCTTAGCCCCCAAAGGAATCTAAAAAGGTTTTCATGATCATAAAAATGATTTATTCCGGATCGTTCATATGTATATGTTTATTTCATGACGAGTATACACATTTAAAATAACGTTTTGTGTACATGACGTTTCTTTACAGCGTCTGTTACAGCATTAGCTGCTGCAAAACTACTTACTGCTTCAAAACATGGATACCTTTTTCCAAAAGTAATCATTTTTTTCCTTATTGTAACATTTTCATCCCATTTAAACCTTTTTCGTCATCATGGATACGTTACGTTAAAAATTCGACTAATTATGAAATATGAGTCGTGGCCGCAACGCGGCGTAAGCGGTACGCAACATCAACGACGCTTACGGAGCTAGCACTACAAACCAACGCACAACTTTTTGGTAATTTCGACCTGAAAAATGAACCTAGCGATCGTCGGAAGATTTTGGTAGACAATGACGAATTAAAGGATATTGTGGAAGCTGATGATACACAATCTACGACTGAATTATCAGCAGCTATCGACGTTAGCGTCAAATCAATGTTGGTCCATTTTTATCACATTGGCAAGGTAAAAAGGCTTGACAAATGTGTGCCCCAGGAACTCTTAACAGAAACACAAATGAAGGTATTTTGTTCCGCATTGTGCGATTAAAAATGGATTCTGTAAGATAACCACTAGGCGGTCAGAAAGTTGGTTCGATCCTGGTTCAGCACCTAAACAAATTAAGACTTAGAAAAGTGATGGTCGCCGTTTGGCGCCACTCACATTTATCACAGCTTCTTACCAAACGGAGTGGGCATTACTGCAGAAGTGTGTTTACTGTAAAGTACTGAACACAATGATGGAGAAGCTGTCACATCTCCAACCGCCATTGGTCATCGCTCGTCTCCGCAGCTCCAGCACGACAACGCGCGACCACATATTGAACAGCAGACGGTCTCTAAGTTGCAAGAAATGGGGTTGGAAGTTCTCCGTCATCCGCTCTACACGCCAGACCTAGCGCCTACAGACCATACAAAATTTGGATAACTTTTTTGGCGGGGAAAAAAAAATCAATACCTGAGAGGCAGTACAAGATGCCTTTGAAGACTTTGCTTCCTATCGTCCAGGTGACTCCTTTAAGACGGGGATCAATAAACTGCCACTGCGTTGGCATTTCATAGTGGCAATATGTTTTGATAACTTCGGGAGATTACTTCGATTAGTACAAATAAAAAAACACCAAAAAAATCGTTTATATCTTTTTTTATACCTAACGGAAAATTCATCAATATTAAAACTTTATATGAATCATCAAAATAAATTTAAGTACAATTAATAGAAAATTAAAGTAGTTTTCACATTAATTGTTTATTACCTGTTGCGAGTTTTCAAAAATCATATTTACTACGCAAAGTACCAAGCAAGGTGGTGTTCGAGAAGATTTGATAACCCCTTATTTTGAAATTATATAAAAATACTAAATTCAATTATTTACCTACAGTTTCCGAAACGACGTCTTAAATCCACATGAACACATAACAACACTTTGCTCAATAGTTTGTAAATGTTTATATTTTTATTAGCGTTTAAAAAGGTTAATACATATGTTTAGTGAATTGTAAAGTACGTGAGTAAATTCGCGGCGACAACGTTTGCAAACACGAGAAAGACTAAAGCACAATCAACAACGATGAGAGCTCGCGAGCAACTGCCGCCGGCCGCCGGCCGCCGGCCGCCGACTCTCGCCGCTTGCCGCGCCGCGCGCTTCCTCGCCACGACATTCGAATTGGATGGATGGATGAAAAGTTGTAGACATGGTAACACTATAGAGGACACCAAAACAGTGAATCCTAAGAGCAGGTAACAGTGACTACTACAAGTGTACATAAATGCTAGATATTATTTTACTGGAGTCGTTTAATGAAATAAAAAATAGAACTCTTTAAACTCTTATCTTCCAAACTTCAAAAAAAAAATCGAAATTCGAGTATTCGATTTTCTAGTTTTTGATAAGCGATAGGCGTTATGCGCTATGTGATATACACTATGCGCTATGTGCATAACGCCATACGCGATTTTCGATTTTCGAGTTTCGAGTTTCGAGTTTCGAGTTTCGAGTTTTAGATTATATAGTTTTCGATAAACGATATGCGTTATGCGCTATACATTATACACTATGCGCTACGTGCATAACGCGATACGCGATTTTTAAGTTTCGGGTTCCGAGTTTTCAATAAGCGATATGCACTAAGCGCTATGCGCTAAGCGCTATACACTATGCGCTATGCACTATGCACTATGCGCTATGCGCTATTTGCATAACGCGATACACGATTTTCGAGTTTCGACTTTCGAGTTTCAATATGCGTTATGCGCTATGCGCTATGCACTACGCGCTATGCGCTATTTGCATAACGCGTAATGCGATTTTCGTGTTTCGACTTTCGAGTTTTCGATATGCGATATGCGATATGCATTATGCGCTATGCGCTATGCGCTATGCGTTATGCGCTATGCGCTATGCG